TTCCAAATAATTATCATATCTATAGACAAGATAGGGAGGACAGAATCGGCGGTGGCGTACTCTTCGCTATAGACTCTTCAATACCATCTGAAGAAGTTAGTCTTCCACACATTGATTCAGTAGAGTTCAAATGCATCCGTGTACAGGCTGGAAAAGGGTCTATTAACTTAGCTCTATGCTATATCCCTCCCCGATCTGACACATTGGTGTATTCTCGACTCATCTCTTTACTGAAATCAGTTAATTTACTGACTAAACCCTCTGATTCAATGATTGTGTTGGGTGATTTTAATTTACCAAGCATATCATGGAACATCATTGACAATGATATCATACTTTTCGCGTCTAGTTCGTACAACAACGTATTTTTAGAGGAGATGGCTGAACTCTGCCTAACTCAGGTTAATGTACTTCACAATAAGTTTGGTAAAGTATTAGATCTTGTTTATGTTGATGATGCATCTAAGTCCGTTGTAAATAAGGGTGATCCACTAGTTTTTCCCGAAGATATCTACCACCCTGCTATGGAGGTATCTTCCGAAGTTATAAGTGATGGTCAAAATTGCAGTACCCAAATGTGCGAACCAAATATTCGCTTTGATTTTTCGAAAGCCAACTTTAAAATGCTTTACAAAGAACTGTCTAAATTGTCGTGGCCTGCATTTAAAGAAAATATTGAACAAAGCGTTGCACTTTTTAACTTTACTTTACATAAATTATTTGAAAAGCATGTGCCTAAACGCTTGTATGTTCCTAAAGAGCAAACACAGTTATGGTTCACTAAAGAACTGAGAAATTTGAAAAACAGAAAGTCGCGTTATTTTAGATTTCACAAAAAAACCGGTTTACAATCATACTATGTAAAATATTCACTTTTGCGTCATAAGTTTTTTGAATTAAACAAAAAGTGTTATAAAGCTTACTTGTGTAAAATGCGTATAATATATAACCCCAAATCATTTTATGTCTTCGTAAACTCCAAGCGAAAAGTACGTGGGTTTCCTTCCGCCATGAAGTATCAAAATACCGTCTCTAGTGATAATCAAGCAATTTCTAACATGTTCGCTCAGTTTTTTAAATCCAATTATTCCATTAACTCACATGCTAACATTGACTATCCTTTTAAACTAAATATGTCCAATGAACTCAATAAATAATGATGTAGTAGTTTATCTGAAATCCTTAAAGCAGTCCTTCAGTTATGGTCCTGACCAGATCCCTACTTGTATTCTTATAAATTGTTCTNTCCGTTGCTTATGCCAGGGTTTTAACTCTCATTCCAGCACGTTTGATATATCAGATCCGCTTTTCAGCATTAAGAAATCGATACGGTCCTCTCTCAATAAATGGATCATTAAAATAAAGACATAAAATCGGCTGATGAATTTAGTTCTGTAGCTGAACAGTTTTAGATCCCGACACTTAACAAACTCCTGCCTATCGTGACAAAAATTGAAAATACTGGTTCCGTACGTCATGCAGACTGCGCCCCTCGTGCGGATGGGCGGGAATGGAGGGTAAACACCGTTGGGATATTATTATTATTATTATTGCGAAAAAGTGTGGGTTGCTTGTTAGACGAAAAATATGGCAAAGAGCGCCCCACGCCTTTTCACAATAATACTAGTATTTTCAACTTATATTAAGAATTATTTTTTACTTTTTAGTTTGATATGCTTTAAAAGCGTGTTTTTTTAGTTTTTTTAAACTATATTTATTTCTTTTTAACATTAGACATTATTTGAAACTTAAATACTAAATAAGAAAATAATCATGTATGGAGTACACNGCATTATTTGAAACTTAAATACTAAATAAGAAATTAATCATATATGGAGTACACCCAGTGGCGCACCATATTCTATTCGCAGGTATTCAATGTTATTAGAGATCTAATATTGATTTCCTTTTAAGGCGCTGGAATGACACTGTATGAGAAGTGAGTGTAGAAATAAGAGGATTTGGATGATCATGAATTTTTTGTCGGTGCGCCAAGGCGTGCTTTTTAATCTCGGAAGCAACAGTAGGGATTTTAAGGTCACGGTGTATTTGGTTGTTTGTGACATAGAGCGGAGCGATCACAATCATTCTAAGAGTTTTTGATTCGAATCTTTGGAGTATTTCTATATTGGAGGTTTCTGCAGGGCCCCATAATTGTATTTCGTA